AGCATATTCATCTCCAGAAATCAAGAGGTCTTATTAGTAGTGACCATGTAAGTTGATTGTGATCTAGAGCCCTTCTGATTCTTTTTTGAGCAACTTTTAACATGTTTGTTTAGTAGGACCAGGTTCATAGCAGTAGTAGCAAACTACACTTAAGGCTTGGTTCCAAGAATTCAGAGTTTGGCTTCCATAATTGCCCGAAGAATGAGGCTAACTTATGTCTATATTTTTCTGGCTAGCTTGAGCATTAGGTTGCTATATGGAAGAAGCCTAAGAACTCAGAATAGTATAAAGCACTCTAATATAGACTTCCCTCAGAATAGTAACTCCAACATCAATAGAATCTGTGATTTGACACCTTAATACTGAGAGTTGAAGTCAAGCAAGAAAACTCATAATAATTATTTGTTCTCTTTGAGCCTGTTGAAACTGAATATCAGTACTGAAGGGCAATAATACATTCAATTCTTCAAAAACATGTTTAAAGTGCATGTGATAAATGTTAAATGATTGATCTTGTTGTTCAGTCTGATAGAACTTACCTACATCAAAGATTCGACAAATATTTTCTCCTAGAAAAAACAAATGAAAATTCCCACGTCACATTTTTAATACAATTACAATGAGTAATATGACCAAATTGATCAATTTCGATAGAGTTTTACAATTGTATCAGCAGATGGGCGTCAACTCTCCTCCACTCTGAATAATTCAAATTAGTCTCAATTGGCGAATTATCAATGAAGTGACTCTCTTGAGAAATACTTCTCAACTAAAGTCTCGCAGCTTTATTCCAATAAAAATGGTTGACTACGTTTAACCTTTCATTTATAAATTTAATCACTGATGAAACCAAACTATTACAACATATTTTTATTCAATCGCCATGTTTATCAGCAATGATGACCTCCTCAATGTGTTGGTACGAATGAGATTATATGGAATGAACGAAGGACGAGGTGACCTCCATAGATGAGTGATATCAAGTCGTATGAGACAAACGACTCAACAAACAATTTAACGATCGTCGAAGACAAATAAACACGACGAACAACGTCGTGGAAGAATACCATTTGCGATGGCCGCGACACTCAAGCGACCAACATTGTACGATGAAGACGAAGCAATCAAAGATCGAGTAATGATGTAATCTCATCACAGGATGAAGAGGAAGCTTCAAATGATGCAAACAAATCTGCATGACACAGACGGAGTCGAACGACTCAAGCAAAGCGATGGAATAGGAGGAAACTTCGAATGGTGTAGGCAAAGCTGCATGACGCAAATGTAACCAAGAGACACAGATGAAGCAGTCAAAGCAGACAAAGGTGATCGACGTGCATGAAGATACGATGCAAAATGACGAACAATGCAGGTAAGGCCACATCACGTGCGGAGAACAAAGCTGAACCGAGGAGGAAGACGAGTCGTGTGTGACGCTGATACCATGAAAAGGGAAGCAACAATTTTTTTTAATTCCCCAATTGAAAACATATATTATATATTAATATACACTCCCATCTTGATAGATTAAGAGTTTTCTAATATATAAAATATCATGTAATATGATAGCCTCTAATTAAATTACCTAATATCAAGTTTTCTAATATACAAGCTTTAGATTTATTAATTTTCATAACACAAACAATATCTGATAAAGAAAGAATGTATGTGTGATCAAGAGTTTGGCTCAACAGTCACAATTAGCAAATAATTATGGATCAACCAAAGCAATGAATTTTCACTAAACATATTTTAAAGGTAAGATAACATTTAGAAGATAAAATGCGTGATAATAAAATTACAATAGATTGCTCTGAAGAAGTAAAATTAGCAAAATATCTATAGATATTTGAATAGCGGTGGGAAATGTCAGAGTCGTTTTGTTAATGAAGTTTTTTCACGAAATATAAACACTAATAAAATGTCAAATGGTTACAAAAGAAGCATTTATAGACCAATATTGAAAATAAAAAAAATGTCTATGATTGAAATAATTATAGAAAAATCAAACTTATGAGCAATACAATAAAGAAGTAGATGTTGTTGAACTATGAGCTCAGAAAAACATGTAGATATCAGGGATCAATTAGATTACATGCCAAAGAAATATATATACAAAGCTTTTTTTTGTGATAAAACACTTAAAAAAGGTATAAAAAGCAAAATAAAGGAACTCCATATGATCTTTATTAATTTTGAAAAGCATGGTTAAGTGTTACAAGAAATGATTTGGTCGGCATTGGGGAGAAAAAATGTGACAAAAGTTTGTTTATTAGGATAAATAAGATGGAGTGCTAACCAGTATCAATAGTACGCGTAAAGTTCCTACAAATTATCCAATAATATTAGAATTATATATAGGATTAACACAAACTTAAGGGTTCATTTAAAGAGGTTGTAGTTGTTTGTAAAAGTAAGCTATGAAGTTGTCGTAGAGAAAGTTATTTTTTTGTTTTGTTCTTGGCATTATTCATTTTTTTTTCTTTTCAGAAAATTTGATAATATTAGCCATACTCTAGCACATCCTGTTATGAAAAGCAACTTTTTCGACATAAAAATTTCTAAAAATTAACAAGAAAATTGTAGCCAAACAAAGCCATGACAATTTTCCTAAACTGCCCCCAATAGACCGCATATCATTTTGGTTAGTGAGATACTTGTAATAATCTATACAAATTCAAATACTTGGTGAATGTTATTTGTGAAGATCAAAGAATTGATAAGGCATCTTCTAAAGTAGATGAAAGGTCATACAAGAAAGAAAATTCTAGAAGACGTGATGCTTAGAAATAGTAAGCTAATTGATAAATCTTATGTAACAAATTACTTCATTATTTCATATTCGAAAATAATAGTAGTTTTAATCGATGTAATATAAATAATTATAAATCAATATTATTGCAAGATCTGGTGATTTCTAAATGTGACAAGTTTAGGCATCTCAAAACATATCAAAAAAATTGAAATATTGAGACTAGACAATTAAAATAAAGAAAAAATACCTCAAAAAATAATTATATTAGAAAGCATGTTATATTAGAAAAATGAATAAAAAAAAACAACAGATGAATAAGTATGGTATATAGATCGAAGTTTTTGGCAATAAAGAAAACATTGACAACTTAACTAAGTTTAACAAAAAATAAGAAAGCTAATATTAATGCCTGGTAAAAAAACAAATTATTGACTAAGAAATGTACTAAAATGAGAGATCTAAAAATCATCGTTTATTAGACAAAAGATAGGAGAAAAAAGATTTAAATGATTTTAGAATAGACAATAAAACAATAAATATGCACCAATAAATTGAGAAATAGAATCAACACGAAAGAACAAGAACAAAAGTTAGATCAATGGCAAAATATATAAACATTTGGGTGAAAGAATTGAAAATAAGGTTAAAATCTCATATATTAGTCAACATGAATAAATGGAGGATTCATAAGTTCGGCCCCAAATAGTTAGAAAAAAACTAATGATGATGATAATGTTACAAATCCTTATAAGATGATGATCCAAGAACAAAAAATCAAACCCTTCCAAAAAGATGACTATAAAAATAAATAGTACGTGCAAAGTATGATAGAAAATGTAAGAGGAAAATATTGCCACAACTGGAAAAATCATCAATGACTCGAAAACCAAAAAATATTGATGGAAAATCAAATAAAAAGAAATTCTACCATCCAAATGGAAGTGCTGGACTCCAGTAGTATATTCTCTTTCAGGTATATCTCCATCATAACAATCCATTTAGTCATATCAAAGAATAGAAGACGGTAAAAATAAGGACCCATGAACTTCTCTGTCCTTTAATTAACTTAAAAAAGTAAAGCAAAGTTTTCCAAGTTTAAGAATGCAGTCTCCGCATGAATTTGTGAGTTATTTATAAACAAACACAACATTTACCAATTCAAATAAACGGCATACCAATGCATTATCCATATTAAATGAAATATATAAATATAATATTAAATCACTTATGTAAGCAAATTCTTGAACTAAACTTTTACCATCTCAACACAAATAATCTTAGCATATTTCTTAGGCAAATCAACAATTATCTCAAAATCATAATTTTCAGTAAACACTCAGCTTCCAAGTGTTAACTGTAGGATTACCGAGTTTACATGTAATAGAGAAGATCAAACCCTCAAGATTATGCTTGATTAAAGTCAAATATTTCGAACTTTAGATATGATAATTTAGTAATTCTGCATATATAAATTAAAGAACATTAATTTTGAGAACTTGCAATTATATGACAACAACAAAGCCTTAATCCCACTAAGTGGGGTCGGCTACATGAATCTTTTTTCTCCATTTCATCCTATTTAGTGTCATATTTTCATTAAGTTCTAATAAATTAAGATCATTTTTTATACAATAAGCCCAAGTCTTCCTAGTCTACCTCTGTCTTTCTTAACATAAGTCGAATCTAAAACATTTATTCTCCTAATTGGATCATCAGATGGTCGACGTTTAATGTGACCAAACCATCTAAGACAACTCTCTCTAACTTTGTTTGTCACTGGAGCTACACCAACCCTATCACGGATATATTCATTTCTCATTTTGTCTCTAAGTGTAAAACCACTGATCCACCTAATCATTCTCATCTCGGCAACACTTAACTTAGTATTATACTTCTCTTTTAAAGACCAACATTCAACACTTAACTTGCAATTATAAACTAATTAAATTATTAGGTAGTGGCGATATCCATTTAATACTCATTTTTCCCTTGTTTCTTCATTTTCTTTGTTTTCATATTAATCTACTAGCAATTCTTTCCTTCTTCACTTCTCCGTGGACTGTCCCACAATAAACACCAAACATCAATCTAATGTTTGCAAATTTAAACACCACAGAAGTAATCACGCAATCCAAGTATAAATGGCACAAAATACCATTTTGCAAATTTAAACATATTCATGTTCTCACACTTGTGTGAATGCAAGCATATGCCCACAAAAATCCCACTTTAAGTGTATTCATACCTTTGGGTTGCATTTTCAATCTTTGAAAACCTTTCCATTAGCGCTTGATCAACCATAGAAGATGTTCCTATTGACGGGCTACTAGCATTCAATGGAGCATTAAAATTACTCACACTTGCAGGAGATCCAACACCACTCATAGCTTGTGTTTTGGGGACAGAATTTGCTTTCCGTTTTAGAGAAGCAGACCCTTGGGGCTGTCTATGCACCGAATCACTGGGACTAGAAACAACAGACTGGGCTCCAACAGCATTCGAGTTTGTTGGTAGTGTGGACGTTACAGGCATTGCACCATATTGACCACCTACCGAACCACTAGATATCTCTCCTGATTTTGATGACAAGGGAGATTGAACCAATGGTCCAGAAGAGACGCGCGGACTCGGTAAAGTCTTCCGTTTTTGAAGCACCTCATCCTTTCTCGTATCCTTCTCAGCCGGCAACCGGGGGTTATTCCACTGTGTAAGAGGTGGAAGATGGCTCCTTATAGATGATTGATGCAGTTGATGCTGGGCATGTAATGGATGCTGATCCAATGAATTGTCAGTGGTCACTGCCTGCAGAGTCTCTTTCGATCTCTCAAGATCTGGCTTATTCAACTTATCCGAGTCGATCTGCTCCTCCTTAGGCCCATATCTCATAATCTGTTGGTTATAATAAATAGATGTCACTGGCTCTTGATTAATCTGAGAAAACCTTGGGACCCCAACATTGGAGTACTGAAGCCCCTTGGCATCAATCTGTGGATGTGCAGGCTGGTTCTTCCACTGCATATCTGGTCCATTAAAACCACCTAGTGGAGAAGCAACCTCAAAACCTGCAGCAGTCTGCCTTGTCCTCTTCAGGTCTGGCATTGATGCTGATTGGGAACCTTGAGTTTCCCTTCGTCCAGTCAACGAGAAATTAGCATTAGCAGTATCCATGTACAAACCAACTATGTTCTGAGGTAACGAAATGCCAGCACTGACACCATAATTTACAGGAGATAAGCCATGCTCCGGAACCACTCCTGCATGGTTGACAGGAGATTGAATCTTTGTATGACCTGGAACAGGTAAAATTGGCCTAGCAGCTTCATGAAAAGGATTATTTGATCGAGAGGATGAAATGATCCCAGGCTGAGTGGCTGCATTTTCATGGGCATGTTGTATGGGTACATTGCTTAACATAGTTCCTGAATCTCTTGCACTGTTAGAAATTTCAGGTGCTCCATCAATGCAAATCTTTTTCCCATGAGGTTGATTGTTGGAGGTGATGGTGACTTCAGTAGTTGGCTGCGACCTTTTCTTCCTTCCAACATCAACATTGAACTGCACCAACAATTATGGAATGATAATTTAGTTGTTTGCAAAACTGTCTGAACAGTAAGATTTTCAGTATTTTTTCAATACCTTAATAATGGCAGGATCAGCACAGAGCCTGTCCAGCTTTGGAACAGGAGCTAAATCAAGTTTTGGCTGCAGGGCTTTCAAAATTCGAGACTCAACTTCCTTAGCATCAAAGAAAATATAATGCATGTAAGTTTTAGTATTTATGAGCAAAATGTAATAGAATTTTCAATTTCTACCGAATGAAATACCATAAAATCACTATAAGTCCACGAGTCATCAGCTAGTAAAGGAATATCCTTAACAACATTTTCAAGAGACATCCGAAGTCGGATTCTGTTTACAATAGGAACAGCATCAATAGAAGCAATAGTCTCTTGTTCTAGTCTACAATTTCTATAATCGCGCACCTGAAAGAAAAGAAATATGGTTAACGAACACAATTTATTTCAACAAAAAAGACAAAATTTACAGTTTGTATTAAACAATATGACCATAGTTTAGAAATAACAAGAAGGCTGATCAGATGTTCAATTGGAAGAAAGAATGAAAACATTCCAGGCATTCACAAAATGATGTTGGACGTCTTCGAATTTAGGGTGCTGATGCAGCTAAATGATACAATGAATGAAAATAAAACAAATGAAATTTAGAATTCACAGTTTCAAAGACCATCAATTTAAACAAGCATTTATCTTATTTTGAAGTAAACCAGAAGAATACAAGAAATGTGCAACTTTAATGATCATTTAAACCAAAGAAAATCAACGGGAAAACTAAAAACATAAAAAACAAAACTCTGACAAGATTCACACGACAATAAGAAAAAAAAACTATAATTGTTTAGACTATAATCAATAATACTCCCAAACCAATATCAAATTATGTGGATGAAAAGATAACAAGACAATAAATCACTTAAACAGAGAAATTCAAGACTCACACAGGCACAATCAAATAAATTCTCCCACACTTGGCTGTTGCATTTGCACAACACTTGACGAACTCAACATCCAATATACAAACACAGAATTTAAAAGGAGTACAAATTTTATTTGAAATAGCAATTATTTTGATTTCATGTCTTTAATTTTACTGTTAATTATAAAAATAACCCTTTTTTCTCTGTATAAAAGTTGAACTAACTCGACGCCTCTATTCCCAAATATTGAAACTCTACCAAGGCCCATCAAGAATTATAGCATAATGGTCCATTAAAACTACACAGAGAACCAGCTGATCGATGACCAAAAAAAAATCAATCAAACACAGAGAAACAAACTAAACAAATATAGATATTAGAGAACACAACCCATTATACAGAGAAGTATCATTATAGATAAGCTTAAACAACTAAGTTAAAATTTTTGCAGCCCACATGACCTGGTGGTAAAGTATTTTGTCACCAACCATAAAGCCTTGTGTTCAAGGCCTGGCATATTCGAGTGTGAGCATTAGTTTTAAAAACAACAACAACAACAACAACAAAGCCTTAATCCCACTACGTGGGGTCGGCTACATGAATCTTTTTTCTCCATTGCGTCCTCTTTAGTGTGATATACTCATATTTTCATTTAGTTCTAGTAAATTAAGATCATTTTTAATACAATAAGCCCAAGTCTTCCTAGGTCTACCTCTGCCTTTCTTAACACAAGTCGAATCTAAAACATCTACTCTCCTAATCGGATCATCAGATGGTCGACGTTTAATGTGACCAAACCATCTAAGACGACTTTCTCTAATTTTGTCCGTCACAGGAGCTACACCAACCCTTCACGGATATATTCATTTCGCATTTTGTCTCTAAGTGTAAAGCCACTCATCCACCTAATCATTCTCATCTCGGCACTTAAATTATTATTATGCTTGTCTTTTAAAGGCCAACATTCAGCGCCATAGAGCATTGCAGGTCTCACCACCGTCTTATAAAATTTTCCTTTCAAGCTAAGCGGTACTTTTCTATCACACAAAAGGCCCAAAGCATTCCTCCACTTTAGTTTTAAAAACACAAAGTAAAATTCAAAATATAAAACAAAAAAATAGAAACACTGTAAACAAATGATCAAAATTCAAATCGTTGATTTAGATCAAATTTGCTTGAGTTGAAAAACTTGCTCCAATTGATTAAGCATCGAGTGGGCATCAAGCAAATATAGGCACAATTATTGTGTTTCATATTATAGTAATCCACAAATCACATGTAGGTCTACCATACCAATGCACAAAATACCTTTAGCATCCACTATTAGTGGTGAAGACTATTTCATCATCTAGAATAGCTTCGACAACAAAAATAAAAGAACAATTGGCAAAATGTCGGATGTAAATTCACTGGGTGGAGATGGAAAGAGAGAAAAAATTAAGTTACAGGTTATAGATTCATGCAAAAAGTTCGGCACATTTAAGAGTTAATAACTGCAAAAACTTCCAATAATTTTTAATTGATAAGCATTTGTCCCAAATGCACTGTATGCTTTTAAATGACTATCAATCTTGCAATTAATTTTTTAAAGACTCATACAGAAGACTTTTTGTATTAAAGTTGTCACGATCAGGCCCGGGGCTTGGAGTTAACCAAGACAAGAACAAACGATCGGACGATGAAAATCAATTCAATGTTATATCTTTTATAGCACTAACAATTTAATATTCAAATAATATATGACAGAGTCACAAAAGAAAACAATTAATAACAAATAAAAATTTGGACATTTTTGTTTATTGATCCCGTCTTCTATACACATTTGCTCATCTTGTTCAAATGTTTAAAATCTAAAAAAATATTAAGGCAACATAATGAGTTATCTAAAAATAACGTAGAGGTAATTATATTTTTAAACTACAGTAATCCAAGGAAAAGAGTTCAATATGCATGCTTGCCTATAAGAAATCTTATAATATGTTGGTCATTCATATTTTTATAAGCAATCTAATATATGCTAATGCGCGTATCAATAACATTTTTCTAAATGAACATACACTAATCTTCTATATGCATTTATCATAACTTTTTTTATTTTACACTCTTTACATACATGCTTATCTCTGTGAGGATCACCGTCAACGAACCTAACATACTCTTGGGCGATATTGCCCCATCGGCTCACGTCAACGCAGCAGTTAGCGATCTGCACATCGCAATTGTCTAGGGTGCAAAAACCCTTACCTGTCCCTGGTCGATATTACAACGTCGGTGCAGCGGTTAATAATGTAAACATTACAATTATCTGGGGAGGTAAGCTCTACTCTACTCGCCCCTGACCGATATTACTCCGTCAGCACAACGGTTAGTGAACTAACCATCACGATTGTCTAGGGTGACTAAAAAAACTCTGCGCGTCAGTAACTAGCATTCTCTGTCTGTACCATTATAGGGTAATATTTTCCTTTAAACATGCACATACAAGCATTCATATATAAAATATTTCATTCTTCATTACATAAATTATTCTGAGATGTCTTTATGCATTTACTAACATGCATTTTTACTATGTTGAGCAACTATTTGTCATACATAACTCTCATATCATGTATCTATATCTCATGCATATCTCTTAATTATATCATGTTCTATCTTTCTTACATGTCTATCTTACATGTAATGTTTATCTAAATATCATTCATCTCATGCATGCATATTTTTTTCCTATTATGTTTATCATGCATATATTTTTTTATCTAATAATATGAATATCTGATGAAATTAGGGTATACATTGAGTTAAACATACAATCTGAAATATAGAAGATTACTGAAATTTAGAAACATTCTTACTCACCTTAGTTGTCATGCTAAAGCCTTAATCTTCGATGGCTAGCTGTAGGGTGTGGTGACTTATGTGTTGAGCATAATAACCTATAAAACATAATATTAAACCTTAAGATTCAAGTTATTTCTATAAATTGAATTATTCTTACATGAAAATTACGGAGCTGTCTTACTACGATCCTCTATACACTTGTCTCGAACTTCCCACCTCAAGTAAACAACCTTAAATCTATAAAGATCTTAGCATTTTATAAATTTTCAGCCCATCAAGTAATTAAACCCAAAAAGTAACATTCTTACCTCAAAATAGGTTTCTCGTCACAAATTAACCTTTTCGAAGCAGCCAAATTTACAATCATCTCCAACCATACCTCTCCTATGCTGATATCGTGTTAGAACCTTTATGGAAGCTAGCAAAAGACTTTCAACGCTTCCGGCACACAATCAGTGCCTGCAAAGGCTATCGGAAAGAAAAAATACACAAAAAACAAGACAAAAAATTAAAATCAAAGGGTGAGGAAGGAAATTAAAGCTTCAAATATCATAAAAGAGGGATTTGTGCTTACAAAAAATGCCACGGAGCCCCCTAAATTGTGAGTTGCGGCCTTCCTAGGTGCCGCTCGATTCATGCCTGATAGCAACCCTTGACTATAGCGGTCCTTCTGTGTCGCGCGAACCAAATAGGGAGAGGGAGAGAGAGAGAGAGAGAGGAGGGAACGGAAGTAAGAGAAGAAATCGGGAGAGAAAATCAAAGCTCGGGACTCTTTTGACCGAACAAATGGAAATAAAAGGGGCGCAAGTCCGTGGAGAAGAGTGACAGAGTGATTAGGGAAAGGATTAAGAAATAATTAAGGTTAATTAAATTAATTAAACTTATAAATTTAAATTTTCGCATCTCTCAATCTATTCATAATTAATATATGGTGTTTTATATCAAATTGTTCAATTTAACACGTACAATTTTATAAAATTGATTCGATCAAATTCAGGAGAGATGAAAATTTTGAGGTACTTTGTATGTCGCCAAAAATTTTATCTGATTTCTCAAAAATTAGTTATTACACAAGCGCAATATTATTTTTTTAATGTGTAGAGGCTGAATGTGTCAAAAAATAAATAAATAAAGCGCTTAGCGCCTACACTGCGCAACCCGCACAAATGTGGGTGACCCAGCACCCAGCAATACTCCAGGAATAGAGTGCAGGGAAGTTTAGTGCCTAGTAGGGGTGCAGCTGCGCTCGTATTGTTCCTGAAGCAGAGCATATGGAAAAGGGCACCCAAAAGGGGTAGCCACACCAGGATCTCCCTGGGCCCGAGCGCATGAAAATTAGACACTCGGGACTGGCGCTCCAGCGCCAGAAACTGTTTCAAACAGTTAAGGCATTTAAGCCAGCTGCGGAATTTGGAAACGGGAGTCTATATGGTGTGTGAATGCAGGCGATAGAATAAGCAGTGCATGAAGAAGATGAAGTGAGTTATGTGGATGGATTTCAGCGATCTCTTATGTGAAAGAGAGAGAGAGTATTTGTTAGTTACAAGAAGTAGAAAGGTTTGAGTATGTCGTAATTTGTACAATTTATCCTCATTTCATAGTGAATTTCTTGGTATAGTATAGCTCTGTGATTGTGTCCTATTCTCAGAA